TGTAACATCGAGGAAACGATGAATAGCGCGAAATATTTATATCAATTTTAATTTTTAACATCAATATTAATATAGTTTGTGTATAGACTTGAAGAATAAATATATGTATGAATATAAATTTTACATAAATTGTGTAACATTCAAGAGATAAATTAAAGACTATGAATAAGCTAACTACAAATATGTAACATTTAAAATGCCTGCCAACTTCTGTTACTTTCATCATCATGTAACTAAACAAATATAGAATTAACTACAATAGTAGGTATGGGAAACAAACACAAACAATCTACGCGTACGAGTCAAGTGTGGGCGTGGTAGCATGTACTGCAGACCTAAGAGATTAGCATGGGGCCAATAAAACTACGTGATGAGCAAGGTAATAGATTAGAGAGAACTAAGAAATGGGCATATCTGGATAAATAAAAGCAAGGGATGAGTATGATGAATATCATTGCCAGTCTTGTTTTAAACTAAAATAGTTATACGAGGCGCGTCCTCAAAGTAAGTTTCCCACTCGTCCCACAGCTAGCAAACCTTATATTGCGCGAAGCGACTGTGCGTACGTGATAGAGCAATGACGTAGCATGGCGCATGCACTAACGGCACCTCCCGCGTTCTCACCGTAGCATCGTTGCAGCTGTTGAAGATGGAGGTTCTTATTCCAGCTCCCGCCGACTGTGAAGTGCGGTCAGTGATAACGCTCGGCCGCACACGGCTCGACGGACAGCGAGTCTCCTGCAGGAGTTCAGCTGGGAGGTGTTTGATCATTCACCCTACAGCCCGGACCTCGTTCCCAGTGATTTCCATCTTTTCCTACACCTCAAGAAATTCCTGTCCGGTCAGCGTCAGCGTTTTGAGAATGACAGAGAGGCGGAGATGGTTGTCACACAGTGGTTCCAATCCCAGGCGGCAGACTTCTACGACACAGGTATTCAAAAGTTGGTCCCACGGTATGACAAATGTCTCAATTCCGGTGGCGAATATGTTGAAAAATAGCTGGACACTTGCTGTTATCTGTTGCAATAAATATTTCCATGAAATTGTGTTTTGTTTCTGTAAACGGCCCCAGGGAAACTTACTTTGAGGACGCGCCTCGTAGTTACAGCAGGCAGTAGAATTTCCACCAATATAATGCTAGCGAATATACAGAATAGATACAATAATTTAGGTAAGGCAAAGCATGTACGTAGCAAAGGCAACAAAGGATGAGTCAGCTTTGTACCTTAATGGGACTTCCAGAAGTCTCAGATCGCTCGATTTTACGGGATTTCTGTAAGCAGCAAATGGATACGGGTAATAACTAGACAAGTAGGCAACTCTAACACAAAAGAGAAAAAAACACACAACATGAAATCACTTTAACTTAGCAAACTGCGGCTCTTCAGCAACATATTGCAAAACAATACAAATGAATAAATAATTACCACTGTAAGAAACAATTAGCAAAATTATTCTCAATATGACAACAACTACAGACTTTTTCTAATTTCAATACTGAAGAAATATTACTGTCTTTCCAAATATTTGTTTCACTACTTCAATGTAACACCCATCAGCATTTACTTAAATTTATAATTCAACTATTAGTATAGAACACAACAGATATCAATTCTTCTATTATTCCTTTGAAATGCCTAATGTAGCAAGTACAAAGCAGCAACATTAAATACCCACACCACATTAACATATAAAAATATCACGTACATATGGTAATTTAACTTAACTAATTAGATAGCATTGGGACACAGTAAATTTAAACAAAATGAAAAAACAGTCAAAATATTCAATTAATTTACAGGTGCATCAATAACTCAATGGCACATATGGGAATCCTGAGAAAAATTTATCATATAGAATGGCTGTGATAAACTGCAGTGTTGTTTACTTCTTGTCAAACTAATGAAACGGGTAGACATAGATCGATGAAAGGTTGCAATAAAAGAATTTTGAAGTATGAACAAATTTACTGCAATATAGCACAGTCACTTCTCCGATTACACAATCAGTGCATTCCTGAAAAATGTTGCGTGGCACAGTCACTTCTCCGATTACACAATCGGTGCATTCCTGAAAAATTTTGCGTAACTTAACCAATTTTCAATAAATGGGTTGAACTCCAAAATGACAAAAATTTAGACATTCAGTCATGTAAACCTTTTATATAATTATTTCTAATGTTAACATTTTAAAAAAGAATTTTCTCAATTAATCTCCAAAGATACTATGGCGCCATTTACCATGTAACTACACTGAAGTTAAAACTAAATTATGTAAACAAAGATGCGGTACATATTCTCCTACTAGTTTAAACTGAAACGACGCAAACGAAGAAATGGTTGGATGTGCAACCACACCACCAAGACCGACAAGGTGCATAAAAGTTATTCCCACTTAACTAGGCTTCTACTAGCATTCTTACAACCAAGAGGCCCACAAACAAAACCAACATGAACATACTAAACACTAGTTTTGAAAGCAAACAACAATAAAAAGCACATTTCAGGACATTACTCCCTTAACATTCATCAGATTCCTTTCAATTCAATTCCCAATGTTGTGCAACAACGCCTTTAAAGAATTGTTGTACTAATGTTATCACATGTTATTGCTGTGGAACAATTTGTTCTAACAATGTCTGCATGATCCCCATTCTTGCACAACAGCCCTAGTCATGCAGGTTGCATATCTCCTAGGAAAACCATGGCTGATGACAAAGACAGATATGGACAGGCCTATAAAGTGTTCTTCACTCACACTAGGGTGTGAAGAACACGCGTAGACAACAACTATTTGAAGAAAATTTTAAAATTACACAGAAAAAATGTAACAATGTCCCACTTGGATACTTTACCTGGAGGAAGAAAGAATGATAAACAACTGACAGTGAACAGGCATTTTACATGCTGACAGTGCAAACTGCAGTGTGCATCCTATTAAGACTTCCAATATTCCAGGTGGCAATTCAAATGTTGCCCTGGATGTTCATAAGAAAGCGTCCACTGTTAGAAGTTTCATGACATGAAACATCTTTACAGGCAAGGATTGTTGCGCCTACACCTTACCTGCTAATTGGAGGACCACCTCTGGTATCCATAATTGAAGACACTTACAGTTACCCTATGTAGTCTGCAGACTCTCCTTAATTCACAGTCGTGTTTCATGAACACTTCTACACAAATTAAACCCGTTCCTACGAGACTCCACTATAAAAGCAATCTGTCGAGCACATTAACGCTACACAGCAGTTCAAAATGTCACCTGTTGAAATCAAAACTATTGACCAATACAAATAACATCAATCCAATTAGTGCCTCATACATCAAAATGAAAAATGGAATAACAACACTCACCTGTAACAAGTTATAAACAGCAAATATTACAAAATCAAACAAATACGTGATGACTGTTGTGATCACCAAATTGTTGTCAGCTGATAATCTGAAAAACATTCCCCTTTTAATCTTCAGTAACTGAGAATAGTTATAAAATGTGTATTACGCCAACTCACCCGATAAGTTAGCATGACGCCAGTCTTATTGAGCATCCAGAAGGGACAGTACAGTGACATAACAATGGAGCCCTTTTTAGTCAAGGTATTCATTCCAAGGTCTAAAGAAACCTTCTGAATACTGTCATAGGAATCAAATGTCCACACAGAAAAATCAGGTGCATTTAGTTGAATTTCATGTTTGCAGGACCATTCCTTGTCTAGGTAATCTACAATCTGCAAATAAAACAAAAGGAAAATGCTTACATTTCTTAAAATCAAGGGAAATTATTGATGAATACAATAAGGTGTTCATAAGTAAATTCTACTAACAGTAAAGTACTATCACAGTACTGGTACTTCAAAAACTGAAGCACCATGTATGTTTCCATATTTTCAAAGAAGTACAAAAATGTTTTCTCAAAAATCTATCATGAACTACACACATACTTATTGATAATTTAAGTCCAAAATCTGAAGACTGAAATAAAACAACTTTCAATCATACATAATACGAGGCGCGTCCACAAAGTAAGTTTCCCACTCGTCCCACAGCTAGCAAACCTTATATTGCGCGAAGCGACTGTGCGTACGTGATAGAGCAATGACGTAGCATGGCGCATGCACTAACGGCACTTCCCACGTTCTCACAGTAGCATCGTTGCAGCTGTTGAAGATGGAGGTTCTTATTCCAGCTCCCGCCGACTGTGAAGTGCGGTCAGTGATAACGCTAGGCCGCACACGGCTCGACAGACAGCGAGTCACAGGGATTCCAAAGTTGGTCCCACGGTATGACAAATGTCTCAATTCCGGTGGCGAATATGTTGAAAAATAGCTGGACACTTGCTGTATCTGTTGCAATAAATATTTCCATGAAATTGTGTTTTGTTTCTGTAAACGGCCCCAGGGAAACTTACTTTGTGGACGAGCCTCGTATTTGGTCCTGTTACAAACACGAAAGACTAAAGAAAATAAGCTTCCACAGAGCAAGGTTTGAACAGATACTCACCCGAAGTACAATAACTGTATTTCCTGGTTCTGCGGTAGGCATCTGTATACTTTCCCCTGCCTTGATCTTCTTTTCTGTGGGGATGCCCTGTATGCAACACACCAGCTCTACAGGAAGAAAGTTCTTGAGGATAACAGCAGGCCGCAAGTGGATGTTGTAACACGTGCTCGACATCGTGTGTCGACTTGTTTTCTCATAATACACCTGTTCCATCTCACCAACAATCTGTGATCACACAGGAAAAAACAAAAGTTAGTCTAAAAAATTTATAAACCATTGAATTCACAAACAGAAAATGAAGCAGAGGATTAAACCAGAATTTCTCTCAGAAAACAACAACCTTGAGTCTTCCTCCCATTTTACAACACCGTGATTCATAATTCTAGGTCATAATGGCAGTCTGGAACAGATCATTAAAGAAAAGAGACTGTGATTAATTTTTAGTTTCTCAATTAGATATACACATCACGCACTTCATTTACATTTAACAACATCCATCAAGTCCAACAACAAACAGGTACGCAAAACAAAATGTTTACCTTCATGAAAAAAGGTTCCACGTCATCCTTGCTCTTGGGATCACACTGTAACAGTTTGGTGGTTGTGAGTTGGTTCTGCAAGTCCTTCCAGACAAATGGTGTCACCGACACTGTATACCTGTAACACACGGAGAGTTGCTGAAGAGACGAAGACACAGACACAAGAGGAGGACAAACAGGATAACTGCATTAGAGTTTGACAGTGTTCTGTAAATGAATGACAAAAATATGTACACAACACACAATTGTCTTATAAAGTTCGACACTGTTCAACTGATATGTAACATACATATTATTCTAAAATACATTTTTGAGAAGTACAGTTGCAAAAGTAAAAATAAATAAGTTGACACACAAAACCATCAATTTGATTATTTCATTGTCAGGCCTAATGTATCCATACAAAGTAGTGCAAGTGTTTGGCATACGGGACAGGCGTTTGTTTGCATCCACAAGGAAGTAAACATGTGAACAAGACTCAACGGTAAGTCAAAACTTATTTACTGAAATGCAACGATGGCACGGACATATGACTTACCCTTTAACACTGAAGAAAAGCTCATTAGTAGGTGTGTACACAGCAGACAGGGGAAGGTTTATATGATCTCCAGATTCCACTGTTCCTACACACTCCACCTCATTTCCACGTTTCGTCATATAGTACACATTGATGGGCTCATTGAAGTGATTCACAACCTGCATTGTGGAATAAATAATACAGCAACTATTTAATTATAACCAATTCCATGATACAGAATCTTTCTTAAGAAGCTGATGACTATTTAGTCATACAAAAGTTTCCCACTGTTACATCTAGTTCAGGAAATTAACAGGCTGTGGACTGGGCAGCTAGATTTTGATTCCACGGACGTGTATTAAGACTTTTCTCGTAACTACCATATCAAGAATACCGCTTCCCATCAAAAGATCACTGGGTGTCCTTTCCCCAGCATTAAAGGCCGGCATGTAAATGTGTGGAAACTTATCCCATATTCCTTACGAGTGACAGCCCTGCAACGCCAAGACTTGTACAGTGGGTTGACTGTTTTTGAGTAAATTATGCCCTTCAGATGACAACACAAGTATAAGTTGTGAGACTGACCATCGCAGGACACAAAACCAGTCTGTTTTGTCTTATACATCAAACTGGATAGTAAATGTCAAAAAACTGCTTTATGTTGACGGTAAAATGAGTAGGAGCTCCATCATATGCAAATCTTTCCTGGCTGTAATTTAAAAAAATTTGTTTGCCCCACTAAAGTGTGGCAATAAAGCTTTGTTTCAATGAAAAATACTTGCAATTATGGTAATTTTGGTTTTTAATATACAGCTTACCTGGATAACGCTTCTGAGTGTAACAATTGTTCCTCCATCTTGAACAGTAATATCAGACACGAGGCCCCACGTGTCCTTGCTGTCTCCTCGATGATTCAGTGAAAAGTAACGCTTATCTGCTCGGACAACTGGAAGCTCCAGTTCACACTCCTTCATTTCATTTACCTGTATCAACCAACAAATGTCCATGTTATGTTCCACGCAAATCGAATGAGATGTAACTTTATAAAAACACTGAAGTGAGTTTTCTTGCACCCTTAAAACTCACTGTGATTTGGAAGTCAGTGACTTTGCATTCACAACTATGAGCTGCTTTCACTGTTATCTTACAGCTCAATATGTAAAAACAAAAACATGAACATTTGATTTCTTACAATTGGTGCAGATGGAAATAAAAGCCCATAAGATGTACAGTCTTTTCTAAACAATGGATAAGCCACAGAAACTTAATTTCCAGCTGGATCTTTCAATGCACAATAACGCTTTCAGATCTAAACAGTGATTCCACACATGCCATAACAGCCCTTGTGTTGGCAGTCACTCACCCGTACAGCAAGAAACTTCTCCGTGACCATGTTATTCTCAGATGTGGTGCCAGAAGGCAGGATATTTATCTTAAGATCCTCTGGTTCCACAAGGCACAGGCCCACACCGGCACCACTCTGAAGCACCACCTGTTTGACTTCATCACCCTCTTTAGCATCTTGTACCTGCAGACCAAGGCACAGCCGCCAACATGAAGTGGCTAAAATCACTACATACACGATCACAAACACAGAAATACTCACTAAACAAGATAATCTTGTACAGACATGAAGGTTTAGAGGGACGTGGCATTGACCTTGTGTGTAAAGTTTGAGACCAGATGGATCCATTATGGACTTTTGTGCCTTCACCTCCAACAAAGTACAAGAATTTCATACCATACATTCAGCAGCAAAATCCATCTGCCAACCACCACCATCTTCACAATCACCTATGACTCAGGACAACATGCAAACCCTGCTCCGATGGTGCTCACTATTAAGTGGATTTCTACCTTCATCACATCCAGTACATAAATGTCAGGACAAAACCAAATCTGGAAGTATATGCCACAGACTAACACGAGGTAATGTTGTGCGAGACTGATAGCTTGGTGCAGACGAACGATGAGAGCAGTGATTCCTAAACTGCCGTGTTCCCAAGTATGTGGGCATGAAGGATTCCAAGACCTTCCACTTTAGGAATGCTTTTCTTATCAAAAGCAGAGCGAGTACTAGAGAATGAGGTTTCTACTTCCATAAACGTGGAACTTACATGACTGGATTTTTGTATTTTTCGATTATGTTCCTCTCATGAAGATGACATTTCTTGGGTAAAACATACCAGTAAAGTACTGATGGACTTCTACAATACAGTTCTCAAAAACTGTCCTGTACCAATATTACTGAAGACCTGAAGCATATGTATGTGGGTTAGGTTAGTATGTGGTACAAATATTTAAAATACTCACATAAAAATTCCTAAGAAGAATGGAGACATGTAACAAAGTCACTCTGTATGACCTGATATGTTACTGCCCTAAATACACTTCACTCGGAGAAGAATAACTTTTATACTTATGCTGAAAAAGGAATGCCCTCAACAGCCATCTGCATAAAGAATAAATGTGTTCAATGTTTTCAATTACATTGGCATTAATTTTTGTGTGTGGTGTTTTTATTGGAAATTAGATTCTTTTTTCATGTTATTCTCCAGGGTGTGTGTGTGTGTCCATGTGTTATCACGAGATCATGGCCATGCACAATGCAAATACAGAACAAGTGCAATGTTACTCCTCACCTGGAATGGACCTTTGCTCAACAGAAGGGTAATGACAAGCCCTGTATCATTCTGAACCATGTAAGGAGACACTGTTTTGGGTTGTTTGGGCCCTTCTGTCATTGCACTCTGAAACGCCTTCCCCAGGTTTGTCAGCACATCGAGGCACGTCTTCGTAACTGCCAGCTCCAGGTTTTCCTACAGACAACAGGTCACATACACACCATTCAGGCGTGACACTCGCTTCTCATGGCTTCTGGCTCTATATATTCATTCTCACAAGAAAAAATGAACTACATTCCTAATTCATTTCTTACTTAAATTTACATACATTTTAATTTGTACAGCATCATTTTAAAGTAACAACCCCAGAATGAATGTGACGTGTTATACCTATAGCACAATGTAACTCTTCTCATTAAGCCTTCACTCTACTCACCTTGGAAGATATTTCAATGCTCATAGCTGGAGGAGCAAATGGTAATTCCTCTAAGTCAGAGGCTGTCTGTGAAAGTGGGCTCGAAATGGGTTCCTGAGAATTCATCTGAACCTAAAAACATACCATAGAATTGTATCACTCAATATTCTTCAATTAAGCAAGCACAGTAAAACCTTTCTAATTTAGACTGCTGTTGTTTTTTATGCATGTATTTTATTTGTGCAAAATAAAGGCTTTTCCTAATAAGAATTTAATTTTATAATTCACCATTTCCTGTCAGCTTAGATATGCATCAAAATACACATATAGCACATAACTTATGCTAAGACGATACAATTCTCTGCTTTTAAAAAGAAAACATCCAACAGACATTAATAAATACCTGTTACTGTACCTGTAATTCTGAAGTAAGACCGCTGCACCAACACTAAGCTAAGCAAGTCAACTACCTGACTCACTCTTTGCAGTCTTGTGTTAAAGGGAAATGTTTGCTCAGTTCCATGAATCCACATGAACACGGTGAGACCACGCTGAGATGAATAACATCTGTGGTTCAAGCTTAGATTTCTGGACATCTCATGAAAGATGCCAAGACTTGAAAACAGCCCTTTCAAAGGATAGAATTCTAATTCATATTTTGTATATGTAATCAATATACAGGTAAACCTCGATTTGCGCCGATTCAGAATAACGCCGCTTTTGAAACCAGCAAGTCAAAAAAATGTATTTTACTATTATTTATAACATTTTGCAATGTTTCTCGTACTGATTCTTATACTAAATCGTAATTCTTACATCGCTGATTTGAATAAAAATTATAAATACAGTCACCTCCGCACTCATTGCTAAGTAGTTGCGAGATAACCTCCTACAAATCCGCCGACATTGCGCAACAGTCACGTGAGCATTGGTCGGTCACTCTTCACCTTCATGGTGAGTCATTTGCGTTCAGCCTGATAAAGGAGTAAGGAAAAATGCGCTCAGTTTGCTTCTTGTTGAATGTGCTGAAAGCTGAGTGCTAAACGTGTTTGTGTTGTTCGACCACTATTCTGCAGTAGCAACTGTTTTATATTTATAAATTGTAGAAGAGCCACCATGTCTGGTAAGAGAAGTGAATGTGTTGCTAAAA